TGTGAATATGTCGTTACTCTACCAAAATTATTTTATGAATTCTTTCTACTCTTTTACTTTATTTTATATATTTGGCTTTGTGAATTTGATGAATTTACTTATATTAGATATGAGAATAATCTTGAATCAAGATTTTAGAAATTAAAGAATTTCTTTGGTACCAAATGAATACTAATAGAATATGTAATCTTTTACTGAATGATTCTGATGTGATTGATCCACAATGGGATCAGAATGGTTATAAGGTAAGGGACGTCTTATCATGGCTTGAGCTCTACCATATAGAACCTTTCACATACAGAACCCACAGAATTTGGGCGCTCACAGAATTGAGCATTAGTCATTTCAGTTAAAGATTACACGTTCCTATATATGTTTGTATACAAAAACCCACAAAGTTTGAGTAGAACCCACAAAGGTTTGGGTATGACTAAATGAAGAACCCACAAAGGTCTGGGCTTATATTTATTGTTTATGATATTATTTTCTTATTATAAATTTTATTCTGTGAGAATGGTATTTTTCACTAAAGTGGCTGGATCGGTTATAGTTCGAAAACTCCAATATTACTGAGATTTATTTCACGTGTGTTTGTTTTTATGCTAACCTTTCCAGAGTAAACAGGCTGGTATATATAGCTTTGGAGTAGGATAAAGCACTATGATTAAAGACTTTGAAGATTACATGGAGCCCAGTGGAGCAATTATTAGAAAATAAAAATATTTCTTTTCAGTTTAGATTATGATATAATTCTGATGTAATAATGAATTTGACTTTTGTATAATTATATTTTAAGGGTATTTTATCATATGCTTTAATTCATATCCGCTGCATTAGAATTTCAATTAAGAATTTATGTGATATTCTCTATGCTAGTGAGTTGTAGAGGATGTTACATATTACCAGTGACATTTTACTATCAACCAAATATATACTCAGTAAAATTATTAAATATTCACAATAATATTTAAGTCTATCAAATATCTTTTTTATACTATTCCCGGTAAACTGAATTTCTCATTATATTACTCAAAATCATGATTCTCAGACATAACAAAAATTTCTCTTATACCAAATACGCTTGTGTCTCGTTTGAGTATAATTAGGATTCCAGTTCTTTCAAATTTGAAATTATACTCATGTAATTATCTATAGAATTCGTTATTTTTTGTATCTCTCTCCTACAGGCAGACTCAAAAGACAGGACACGAGCAGCAGTAGTAGTTGATCATGATGGGCCCCGCAAGATAAGGTCCACAACAATTGCTTTAAATTCATTTTATATTTTCCTTTTTCTTTCCAAGAAATCAAGATGAATAGATGAAATTTTAAAGAGAAAAATATTTTTAAAAAATTTATGATAAAATTATTATTATTTGTGTATAATTTACTGAACTTATTCAGGTTGAGCGTCTGGTGATGTACCTTCTTTCATGTATGATTATCAAAACATGTGTCATAAAAATATCAATATATTTTTTTTATGAAGATAATTTATTCGAATAAAACTAAACCACTTTATTATTTTTAAACCTATTGTCATAAATTATTTAAATATTAATTTGAAATAAAGATGTGAACTAAACCGAAATATGGCGTACCGTTAGATATTCATCCTGCAATTATCTTGATTTGGATTCATTTTCTCTACCAAAAGAATGTAGTTTGATATAGGAAAAGAAAATTGGATTTTTTTAATGTTTCTAACTTTTTATGATGACCATGGACCTGACGTTTATAATGGCATATCTTTGTCATAAATGTAAAAACAAATTTGAAATTCAAATTTTGGTTTATACAGGTTGTTGTTAAAATTGAATTTGTACGTATAAACGAAATAGAGTAATAGAAATATGAATAGTAAAATAGCACAAAACGTGAAGTTTCTACTTCTTAAAATTAAGATACAGAATTATATATACATGCATATAAAACAAAAATCACATAAGCCACTACTCAAAATTTAATGAATAACTTCATATTTAAAATTTATAAGTCATATGATTATACAAGACATAAGTCTAAAATACAAAAAAAGAAAATTGAGTTTAGAAAAAATGAAAAATAGGCTTTTTTTTAAATAAAATAAAAATGAGTTTCTACCTTTTTTATGGTTCTACGTGGTGTTTCTATCCATTTTTACTAAAGATTATTTTTACTTACGTTTTTACACCGTGATTCTACCGTTTCTATATTTTTTTTTTGTTTTTAGATTAATTTTTGACAATAATATATGCGACATTCTCCATATTTTTTTTTTTAGAGTTACCCAAATCTAATTATCTTTTTGAGGCGAGTTGGCTTCCTCCGGTATCCCCACAAGCTTCGACTCTTTGAGTTGGCTACGAGACTAATCCGGAGTGCGGGGGTCAGTGATGGCTAAAGGTTCAGCCCCTTCTCCAAGAATGCATTCAGCGAAAATCAAACACATGTCCAACTCCACACGGGAATCGAATAAATGGGGTAGAATTGATCTATTTTATTCTGCGATGGATCATGGATCCACATAGTGAATGGGGAGGGCACAAACCAAAATTTGCACATAAATGGTCATTCCAAATCAAACACTCGGCTTATACCGTTTGTAATTAACTATTATTTTTAAGCATGAATCAAAGATTTGACTGTAGATGTCTGCGCTGCATGTGGGTTAAGGTGGGAATTTTTTTTTGATACTCCAGCTCTCATATTTGTCCTTTTATTCAAGATGAAATATTTAGACAAAAAAATATTTTTTATTTCTTCTCACTCATTTCTCCTCATGAATTGTAAGATTTTGATTGGTCCAGATCATTAAATGAAAGATTTTGATTGGTCCAGATCATTAAATGAATGGTGGTTCAAGCAGTGGCAGAGTCGGGCTTCAATCTGAGCCGGGTCAAAAAATTATATGTGTATTTATTTTTCTTAATTTTAATTAGTTAATATCATAATATATTTAAATTATATTAAATACATAGCACCTGAGCAGACAACACTAAGAAGAATTATAATTTTATTAAATATTTTTTAATTTTACTAAATATATATATATATATAGGTAGGATCCTTTGACACCGATGTCAAATTTCAATTTTGACACCTCATATGAGAGTCGTTAGATCAAAAAAGATCAATGGTGTCACGTGCTTGCAATCAGAGTCGTTGATCTTTTTTGATCTAACAGCTCTCAGATGAGGTGTCAAAATTGAAATTTAACACCGGTGTCAAAAGATCCTACCTCATATATATATATATATATATATATATATATATATATATATATAAAAAAGTGAAAATTGAACATATAAACTAATACAACCTACTCAAATTTTTTACTAAAAATATTTTAAGTTTTAGATAGGGTCAAACTACATATTGTAGCCCGAGCCAAATTACAATTTTAACCCGGCCAAATTATAATTAATTATATAATTATACATAATAAATATAATTTGTTAAAATTTAGCCCGAACCAAACCCACACACAAATAACACATGGGTTCGGGACCACTGAAATTCTACTTGTTAAGGTGAGGCTTCTTTAACTCAACATTTATTTATTATTTATTATTATTATTATTAGTTTGTAGAAAACTACATCTTTGGTCCTTGTTCTTTGTCTTGGTCCGGCACTAACAGCCAATAGGCGTGTCATTGTAAAATATAAATACTTGAAAGATAATTTTGTTTTGTTGTATTAGTTCAATATTATTAGAATCGATTTAAGTGTATGCGAATTTTATTTCAAATTCAAACATATGACACTGACAAGTTGTTACAATATTTCAATTTTAATGTTGCAAGCATCTTAGTAATTTAATATAACAAGTTGGTACAACTTTCAAAATAAAGAGAATGATGCATAAGAGTTATCAATTCAAAGCCAATGATGGGATTCATATTCAACCGTATACTCACTTTTCACACACACACACAAAAGCTACTCGTATCACGATTCTTTACAGTTTTTTTTTTTTTTAATTACAAAAGATTCTCATCTTTTATTATTATTTTTTTGTTGTATGACAAAAATATCAAACATAATCGTGAGTGTTCGAAATAAAACAGACTAAATTTAATCATTTAATTTTACATAAATAATTAAAATTGATTTTATTTGATTTATTTCAAAAAACGGAGAAATCAATCCAGTATTATTGTTAGATGACATTTGGACACCTTGATTGATCAAGTAAAAATCAAATAATCTGTATGACAATTAAAAAATATTAAAAAAAAACTATTTACAGTCTCATCTAGTGACGGAACTAGCATGACATGTTATCAAGTGCCAAAAAATTCAGTCAGTGTCCAAATAGCTAAGGTTCTTTGGCTATGACCAAAACGTGGTTAATTTTCAAAAAAATTAAAACAGAATTTTCTACGTTTCAAGTGTAGTTAAACGAACGTGGCTAAATAAGCCAGTGCCAAGCCAACTGCAAGCCACAACGTGGCTCCGCCACTGGTCTCATCAAATAATTGACATAACTAAAATTAAAATACAGATTACATGTTTATTTATCACTAAATAAATTCTTTAAATTTTTTACACATGTAATATGTATATATATATATATACACACAGTTACACACACACATTTACAAAACAATTATTTATAATTTTTATTATACATTAAAAATAACATATACACTACACATAAAAGGAAATTTACAAAAGTATCATCACGTAAAGAGAAGTGAGAATAAAAGTTTTCAAGTGGTGTTAGACATTTATAAATGAAATCTTTTCAGCCTGTTAATTATTCTTCTTCAACTCGGGTTAATATTTATGAAACAATTGTTAACAATAAATTTATGAAATTCTTTACGTACATATATCACTTTTCAAAAAAAGGAAATAAAAAATAGTTTGGGCATGACATTATTGAATCGTCTTGAATTCCGCGCCTTACGCCACGTGGCATGACGAGGTTTCTCCTCATCTTTGGTAGCATTATAGCATGAGTAGAATAAGTTGGTAACTATTAACATTAAATTATTAATTAGGAAAAAGTACACATACGTTGTATTGTGCCGTCTCTCTCTCTCTCTCTTTCTCTCTGTCTCTCTGTTTATGTGAAGAAGTTGTCAGAGCTTGGAAGAGGACATCAATGGAGGGTGATCGGAAGCGGTTGAAGCCACGCCTCGAGCGGCGGAACGCCATGAAGAAGATCGATTACGAACCGGACGATGAGATTGAAACAACTTTTTTGGAGAACCAAACCAGCTTCCGAATCGATGGTGAATTCGACCATATATTCAGAAGTTTAGGACTCTCTGGACCCGAAGACTTTGCAATCCCAACAGCAGCTTGGGAACAAGCACAAAAGGCTCGCTTTTTTTCTTCTTCTTCTTCTTCTTCTTCTCCTCCTCCTAAACTTGAAAGTGGTGATGCTGTTGTTGTGCTGAAAAAGCAAGAGAATGAGATTAATAGAGATGGGGGAATCAAAGGTGTCAGGCCTCCCCTTCTGGAACAGCCGCCACCGCCACTTGTTGACAAGGTCACCTCTGCTTGGCATTTGACCAAGTCTCTTCCTCTTCCTCCCCAACATGATGATGTTGTTGTTGTTGTTGGGGAAGAACATGGAATTAGTGATTCTACTTCATCTATGTCCCATGATGATGACGATGATGATGATGATGATAGTGATGTTGGTGATGAAACTGAAAAAGCTGACATGTCCATTCATAATGTCTCGCCAAATGGGTCATTTACACGAACTTTCAAGTCTTGGCAAAAGGGCGAGGTTTTAGGAAAGGGGTCATTCGGAACGGTCTATGAAGGCTTCACTGAGTCAGTATATATTCTCTTTCATTGTTTCTTTTTTATTGCTTTTTTTTTTAACAGAGGTAAGTGGTAACTGGTAACACATATATATCTATTTTTTCTTTTTCTTTTTTTCTGGCAGTGATGGGGACTTTTTTGCGGTAAAGGAGGTGTCTTTGCTGGATGAAGGAAGCCAGGGCAAACAGAGCATTTTCCAACTTCAGCAGGTGGGATGACTTTGTCTTCCTCTTCTTCTCATCAAACCTTATATATAACATATTTCTTTATATGTTTGTTCCATCTTATACGGCACCATTTGATTATGTGAATATTTGTTTGTGGCTTTTATTTCAGGAAATATCTCTTTTGAGTCAGTTTAAACACGAGAACATAGTTCGATATATTGGCACAGACAAGGTATGTTACTTCTGGTTGGCAAGTCCTTTTTATTAATATGGCGCTCTGGAATGAATAATTACATTTTCAGCAATGAGGCAATTTAAATAAGGATTTTTTTAAATCACAAAGCATTTGCATATGGATATGGGTGAAATTTCTTTGTTCATTATTGAGTATCTTTAACCTTGTACCAATCCTATTGAAGTGTACACTAATTGTTATTTATTGTGATGGATATGGGTGTGGAGCAATATGTCTTTATGTTATAAATAGGAGGGAGGGAATGAGATACCATAGGGCTGATGGAAAGAGATAGGTGCCTCCTTGTCAACCAGTTTCTTATTTGATGGGTCAAATATTTACTACTTATAATTCATGAACTGTGAAAGTCCATGATGATACAATAGCAAAACAATATCCCAAAATAAGGTTTAATGTGTATTTATCGAAATTTCGGCATAATTTTTCCTACAATATTAACATCTCAAAAATATAAACACCTACTACAATATATATGATCTAGATAAATAAAAAAGGTATAATAAATACATTGAGGGAGAAATCAAATATAACGCATGAATAATTTATTCTTATTTAGATATTAACTTATAAACATTCTAATGCAATGAAAGTAAATCATATAAATGAATTATATAACAATATTATAATAATAATAATAATAATAATAATAACATAATTATGTAATCATAATTAATCATCACTATTCACTTAATACTACAAGAGCCAATTACATTACTTTCTATGACTCGAGGCAGAGCAAGCGATGTTAGTATCAACCAATATGACAACTGAGGATATATCAAACGAATTAAAACTCAACCAGAAGGCCTCTGACAATCTTTTAGAAAATATCTTCCACTACTAATTTGTTGTCGTTCCCTCAAAATATTGGGTTACTCAACGAATATTAATAATTAAAATTACAAGTCCTATAAATCACTATACCTCAAATGAAAAATTTCAAAATTTATATCTTATACTTAAAACCTTCAAAAGTTATACTATAAATAATGGGATCTATTTATCTCATATTGTATGAGATAATTATCTCCAGTAACAGAGACAAAATAGTAGGGTCAACTACTTTTTAAAAAAAAAAGAAAATATAATGGATCTCACTATCTTATCTTTGCTGCATGAGATAATTATTTCTCATAAATAATAAGGAGGTAAGATAAAAATTATAAATTTATATCTTATACTTAAAACCTTCAAAATACACCCGCACAAAATGAAACTGCAATCAAAAATAATTTTTCAAATTTTTTGATTATGGGTATATTTCAAACAACCAAATACACAAGTAGCGTCCCCTATTGTCCTGAGATCTGCTTACAAGAAAAAAGGAACCGGTAAGACTTTATTTCATCAAAATTTAAAAAGGATACTTAAAGTTTTGACAAAATGAAGCAAATAAAGGACAAAAAAGAAAAACAAAAGAAAGAAACCAGAACGGGAAAGGGGAAACGAAGAACATGGATGAAGCCACAAAAAAAAAAAACCTGTTATTAATGGATTTCTCTCCTTTTCATTGTTATTTGTATTAATATCTTTTTATTTCTCAGGACAATGACAAGCTGTATATCTTCCTTGAGCTTGTGACAAAAGGATCATTGGCAAGTCTCTATCAAAAGTATAGTTTGAGGGACTCTCAAGTTTCTGCATACACAAGGCAGATTTTAAGTGGCTTGAAGTATCTTCATGATCGTAATGTGGTTCACAGGTAATTTTAGTGAACTTTCTATCCTGATGCAATGCAATGATTATACCTGTAATAACAGCAATTAATCTTATTTAGGTAAGGAAAGTAAATCTGGTTCGGTTAATGATGATATATTGTTTCATGCTAAAGGTTTAAGAAAAATATGTTTCATGCCTAATGTCTTACGGGAAAAAATGTTTGGCATCGAATCATTGCAAAAAGTACAGTTCATTTTGAATTTTGATTTCTTTTTTTGTGTTCTGAAGATTCTATATTCAGCCACTTTCTATGATTGTGGAAAACACTTGGTAATTAAAGTTGGATGCAGTGGTGGGAAGTTGATTGCTTAAATATCTTGAGTTTACATGGACTTGCCACATTCTAATTCTCTTTTTCATCGAAAATTTTAATTTTTAGGGACATCAAGTGTGCCAATATATTGGTTGATGCAGATGGGTTCGTCAAGCTTGCAGATTTTGGGTTGGCAAAGGTTCCTTTCTTCAGCTAAATGAATTTTCTAAAATCAGCATTTTATCATTGCAAATTCCAAATGCTAACTGCTTGAAATTGAAATTATACTGTTGGTTCTTTTCCCTTTACAGGCAACCAAATTGAATGATGTTAAATCAAGCAAAGGCTCTCCATACTGGATGGCCCCTGAGGTTTGTCTATGCTTGTAGCATATGTTTGATATAATTTCTTTAAATGGATGAACTAGAATGAGATGGATCATGTGGGACTGTCTAATTTAGTTTAGCACATATGCCAAATATTCTTACTTACTGTATGAACATAAATCTCAATTATGTAAATTATTCTATAGACTTATTTGCTTCCCTTGAGTTTTTATACCAGACTGCATATCACCATCTTTAAATTGTAGTTTGTTCGTTCATTTGTAATTTAAGCAAACTAAAAAAACTGAAAAATTCATTTTACATGAGCTTTCTTAAAGTGACTAGATTAACTTTGAATTGTTTGGATCATAGGTTGTTAACCTAAGGAATCGTGGTTATGGATTAGCAGCTGATATATGGAGCTTAGGATGTACAGTTCTAGAGATGTTGACACGGCAACCTCCTTACTCTCATTTGGAAGGAGTATGTCCAACATTTCTTAATATAATCTTCTCTTTACATTTCAATTAAGGATTTTAATTTACTCGGTTTCTTACTTCTCAGACATCAAGTAATACGGACTGTTATCATATTTGAAATTAGAAAACCGATGATTAATACAGTATTTTTCTTTGTTACAACAGATGCAAGCGTTATTTAGGATTGGAAGGGGTCAACCTCCACCTATTCCCGAATCTTTATCAGAAGATGCAGGAGATTTCATTCTTAAATGCTTACAAGTCAACCCAAATAAACGGCCAACTGCTGCTCAGTTATTGGATCATCCATTCGTAAAGAGACCACTTCTATCTCCCATAAGTCTTGTTTCTCCACGTACTAGTCTTTTACTGTCTTAAGAGTTCTCAATCACCTCTAGCATTGCCACAAGGAAGTCACATTCATCATCTATTTTTGAGTGTTTATCCTAGCAGAGTGATGCAGAACTCGGGTTTAGACTGGTGGATTATATAGGAAAAGGTCAATAGGTTTGCAGATGTCTACTGGAGTTGGACCTTAAAATCTAAAACTGGTTTCATTGTAATCACAATAGCCCACCATGCTGGTCCTTGGTGAGGGATTTCTTATGACTGCAGATGTGAAGTGGAGAATAACGATGGACCTCTGCATTTTCAACAGAGGTTCTTATGCTGTCAAGGAATAATATAAAATAATATATGTCTTCCGCCAATTTAAGATTTTGAGGAGAATTGATTTCTTGACATATGCAAGTGTACACCCACCAGGAAAGGCCTATGGTCATATAGTTGGCCATCTGGAGCTGTTGTTGGTTCTTCTGGTTACATTGCTTTTACTGCAGCCTTTGGAAGTTGTTCTTGTCAGGTAATGTGGTTAATGCATTATCGGCCTTTATGCTCACTGGATCATATAACAGCTCATGTTTTTGTAATTGTTTTTGCGTGGACATTCTGTAGTCTCAGGTGTGGCCTGGCTAGTAGTTGCTAGTTCTTATAGGCATGCCTCCTTGACATGTAAATACTAATAGCTATCCAAGAAAGGGAAGTAGGTATCTGACAAAGCAGCAATTTTTATTGTATTGATTTTTTTGGACTTTCTCTTCGATTAGAGCAACAGTGACCACTCACGCTTTGATTAATTGCAGCACTTCCGTTGTAGGAAGCCACGACAGTTTATCGATTTCTCAAGCATGACGTTTCTACCCGAAAATATGGACCTGTGGGGTCCTGAAAATTACTGGTGTAATCCTACTTTCACTCATGATATTGATGACCTTTAAATCATGCAAATTGCAGCCACGATTTTTAAGTTTCGCTCATAATATGTTATGGATCTCTTGCATGAATCGAAACTATTATGCTCGGTCTAAAACAAATCTTTGACATACTAAAATGCTATCTACGTAACACCTAACTGTCGTAGCCAAATGTCGACTCATGACAAGTGCACATATTAAGGTATTCAAGACATGCTTTAACCTGCAAGCCTATATGGAACAATAATTATATTAAGCAAAATAAAATTCCAAACAATTCCCCCCATATTTCGGCAGAATTACGCCTATATTTCTAACATCCCTAAATATCACAAACATTTATCATATAATATATACAGAAACACAAAATATATGTTTCAAACATTAGAAGATAATACAACACAAAATTAAGGAGGACTTCCAAACAAAGCTACGGGATGAACTGCAAGTTCTAGCAATCTTCTACTTAGCTGCCCAGTGATCTAGATAGAAAAATAAAAGAGCATAATAACTACAATGAATAAGAGGGGAACAATAGTATGAGCCATTTACTCTTTTAACAACAGAGCTATGAACATGCAAAGACCATGAAAGTAAATAATATAACAAAATCAATAAAATAGGTGAGCAGTCAAGAAATCAAGAAAAATAAAAATGGTTTGTCTATTTCTTACCTATCAGACTTCTGCCTGTCGTGGCCTAAATATAACACTGTATATTGCAGAATTTCATTTTACTTTGGCTGAAATCAAGGTATATTAATACAACAATTATTGTTGTCTTCTAAATTCATGCTTTAAGAAAAAATAGAAAAATCCTTACTACCCATTACTTTTACTCACAAATCCCTCGTATTTTTTATAATGGCAGAATTAGAGTATCAAGAAAACCAGATCGGTTGAGCAGTAATCAAGTGGTGAAAATTATATAAATGTAAAGAGAGGTGAGGTGATGTGTTTGTGTGTGGCGATCAGTGAAGTATGAAAAAGAAAAAGACGCTATAGAGATTGTACATACACAATGCTGCACTTAATTTGTTTTCTTGAATTGACGGGTTGCATTGAATATATTACCAAATTGAGATGGGAGAGAACCCCGGTATGCCTCGGAGACAGCAGTTGCAGTTTCCGATAGATCCCTCTTCATCTCTGAAATTTTGGACGCTACATGTACTTTGTACTTCGAGATTGAATCCACCGCCTTCAGGAGTTTGTGAGCATGCATTTGAATTTCTTCTTCACTTTGTTTAATCGTTTCCTGCAACTTCAATTCCGAGGCCTTGACAAAAACAAAGAGGTTCATTGGATACAAAATGATCCAGTAAATCAGGTTAGTTTTAACCAAAAGGTATCATCCCAGTTACTAAAAAAAAAAGGAAAAACTCTCATGACTTCATTCAAAACATATTTACTTTGTAATTATGCTGATTAAGCAGAGAAAAGGGTGGTATATGTTTCACGTTGAATTATTCCCTGTTACTAAGCTTGGCGATAGTTAGTTTGGCTTATGAAATTGATATAATTAACCTTTTGTGTGCTTTATTCCCAGTTTCCGTGTTTGATTACCAGATATGCCAAAGTTTATGCTGAAAAGGAATGGATTCAACACGGTGTGCAAGCTAAGAACATATCGGCCATTTTCCTCACAAGCACTTGCACAAAGACATGAACACGAATTAGGTAAAGGACAACACATAAGCAAAAAAAATAAAGGACTATAGCAACTACTTTTGTGCTTAAAATGCTCGCAAACAATTGCTCATCCGTGCACTGCATGCAATATGAACCCCAAAATATAAAAAATGATTGAAATATGAGAAACTAGCATGTTAGATAAGATTTAACTCAAAAAACTTAACGTGCAGAAAATAGGCTGATCAATGTGGAGTTTGCAGTGAATTTTATTCGCCTCTCCAAATTGATTCAAACACAACAGAGAGGACAGCAACAGACACACGTTCCACATCTTCAAGAATTCTTAGCATATCAAATTGATTATTGAAGAAATGAATAACAACCAAGGAATTACCTTTAGAACCTCAGCTGCCTCTCTTTCCCTAATGTCCAGGTCATGATCTGCCTGCCGGACATCCTCCAACATTTTCTCAGCTTCAGCAAAACATCTGCTTGTGTAGTCATCTGTTTCCTTCTTTATCATGTTCCTTTGAGCTTCAATCTGGTGGATAAATCAACAAGCAGCAGAAAAGAAAGTCAAACAACAGTCTTCAAAAGGCAATGATTTCTGTTTCCAATACCCATCTAACTCCAACAAAGAGTGTCACATAAATGCCAGAAAAAGGCATGAAAGTAGAAATGTGTTTTTTTTCTTTTTTTGTCACATACTATAATATTTTCCACTAGTGTAAAGATGGCAACTAAAAGATGTTTGTCATTTAAACCAAATTTTTGGACTCTACCATCGTCCTGTTAAATAGCAGCAGACATGGAGTCATACTCAGGTCAGAGTGCAAGTTTGATGAGTGATTTCAAAAAAAAAAAAAATAAGAATTAAGTCTGACAAGTAATTACTACCTAAAAAAAGTAAAACATATTGGCGTGTACACAAGTTACAACTTCGGGAACACAGCCATCAATGACACAATATTGCCCCTGTAGCAGCTTCCACAATCCAATTCTTGCAAGCCAGCACCACCTCTGGCCCACTCATAGGCCTATGTGCAAATATTTTTAACTTTCTAGTAGAAGAACAGTTCTCTCTCCCTCTTTCTGTACATCAAATTCATTATTATCATGGCCTGACCATTCATCTATCCAAACTAAAATTTTCATCACTATTCCACTTACAACAAAAAGTTGAAGTCAAGACTTGCACACTGTATAGTAGGCATCGCTACAGACTAAGCATTAACATCAGCGTATAAAGCACTAAACACGATGCACTTACTTCATCAATGCGTGATTGCACTGCTGCAAGCTGATTTCTTTTCCCCTCAAGCCTAACAGCATTTTCACTGGACTTTTGCTGATGGGAAATCAACTCTTCCAATTTTTCCATAGAACTCTTCTTGATGTCATCAGCAAAAGAGTTAAGTGCAGGCTTCAGTGTCAATTTGTGATCAATACCCATTATCTCAGCAGGCGTAGTTCCCTTGGAATTCAACTGATACTCAATACCATTACCAATCTTCAACCTAGAAGCACAGGAAAGGAAGGGTGAGTTGGTGAGATATACAGTACAATTAAATACTATATTAGTAGAATTGATTCAAGAGACACCAACATCTTAACATTAACAAGATTGTATAGTTGTTGCATATGATATGACAATGAGAAGAAGAAAAGAACCTTTTAAGGGCCTGGTTGCAATCCATTGCGAGTGCCTGAAGGTCCTTGAACTTGTGATCAAGATTAGTGTCAAGTTCCCAGCACTTGTCCTCCCAAGCATTCCTAGCAAGCTCAGCTTCCCCAATATCTCTCTCCACAGCCTGCAACTCCCTCTTCATCCTCTCCACATCCCTCGCATTGAAAGTCTGAAGCTCCACCCTCCTCTTCAGCTCCTCATTCTCCTCGCAAATCCTCGCATTCTCCTCCATCTTAACCTCCAACTGCTTCTCCTTCTCCACCAAAACCTTCTCGCCTTGCTGAATCCTTGACCCTAACTCCTCAATAATCATATGGAACTTGTTCACATCATCTTCTAGCAAACCATTTTCCTTCTCGAGAACCTCCTTCTGAGAAGGAGCAGACCTGAGCCTCTCGAGTTCCGCCTCCAAATTCGAAGTGGTTTCCTTAGCAGCCTTGAGCTTCACCTCAGCAAGAGCCTTCTCCTGTTGGATCTTCTCCCTGATCTTGCGGTCGAGTTCCTCGATGGCGTCATCGTCGCCTCTGATATAATGCATGTAGCTACTGAGTGTGTACTGATGGAGGACGTTGGAGTGAACGAGAGTGTTGGTGGAAGAAGAGAGGTGGTGATGGAACTTTGCAATCTGGACCATCCAGTGGATAAGGGCAAGGAATGTGGGCCATTGATGAGGGGCTGCGGGGGTTTTAAGGATCGATTTGTTGATTTTGAAAGGGTAACCTAATCGCTTTAGGAGGAGAGGGAGATCGTCTTCGAGCTTGGACGAGGGCATTGGCATTTCGATGAGTGAGAGAAGGAATTTCAGGGTTTCGTGGATGTCCTTCGCGGAAGGGAAAGTGGATTTGAAGGAGATTGGGAAGTTGTGAGAGGAAAGGAACGAGTTGATGCTTGAAACCGCCGATTGCTGGAACGAACGATCTTTGTAGAGGTCTAAGGTGGGGCGGCCGCCGATTCCGACGGAGGAAGGGCGGCTGCTGGCGTCGGAGTCGCGGGGGCGGTGCTGGAAGTCCATAGGAGTCGGCGACTCTTTCGGTTGCCGACGGCCGGTGGGTCTCATCTCCGCTCAGTATTTGGTTTGCTTTTGAGTTTTCACTATTTTCAGTTTCCCGCTCGCGCTGGTTCGGTTTATCAGAATCCTCATTGTCATTTCTCACTTTGCCACTGTTGCGGTCCGTTATGTAAAAATTATAAGGATTAATTCTTTCTACAATTTTATGTTATTTTTTAATGAAATTATATATCTTTGATATTTTTTTATATATTTTTTTATAAAATTAGGAAGAAGAAAAAATAGACGAGAGAGAATCTAATAACACACTAATTGGTTGTATGGTAATTGAGGGAAGAATGAGTCAAATATGATCAATTTGTATTGTAATTGAGAGTATAGGTCAAATAAAATCAACAAATTCAGAATATGGAATATTCAGATTCTTAAGTAAATATCCCTTACCATATTTAAAAACTGATATGTAAATATGTCCCTTTGATGATGGGTACATTACTAATTTAACTAATTTTTTTAAAATAATCAATGTGTATATTTGGAAAAGTCGGAATCGGAAACTTTCTAAATTGATTTTAACAGTATGACGTGGGCAAAACTCTAATGAGTTTTTTTTAAAAAATATTATTGGTTTAACGTGATTTTAATTCCATGCAATTAAATTCGTATGAGAGGCTTCGGTCTCGTCACCACCCCATGTGAGTTTAATAGAATAGTGTCATGGTATTTGTCTCAAATTTCATTACATCTTATATTTTTATAATCTCATTTTATGTAAATATTAATTAACTTAACAAATAGTTATGCTATTTATTACATAATATTATGTATGATGCTAATTGCTAATTAATATCTTTGTAAATTAAGGGTTAAACTTAAAAGTATGAGAAATGGTGAAATTCGGAACGAACGGTCAAATTGTGTCACATGGCATAGTCGCATGGAATAAACAGATTGATATCCGTAAAGAGAGATATAAGTTTGATGCTTTGTGCCATGTGGTGAACTTGTATCCCCATGTAACATCGATCTCGCGTGCCCCTCTGAATTTGATGATAACATAGACAATCTTAAGCGTTTTTAATGTTGAATTCCAAACGAATACCAGTTGGTCCTCCATAAGAATTTCTATGAAGAATAAGCACTACCATGCATGAGCACAAAAAATGTTGTCTGTGATTTAATTTAAAAAAAAAATTATTGACAGATTGTAGGGAGCAATTAATAATTCCAGCTGAGCTTTTCAAGTGATCACATATTACCTTCTTGGACTATATGCATATCCCAATGTGGGCGAGCATTACATTAACAACTGACTTCTATTATAGCTGTTTCTGAAGAATGAAATTAAGTTGCACAAGAAAAAATCAACTAAATGGACGGGTAAATTAATATTGTAGGGGTTAGAAAATAGTGTTGTAGGGTTCTTCTTTAGTGAGTTGACCAAGTGAATTAGGATTCTAGCTTTTATTTCTTCCAATTAGGAATAGAGCTGTCAAAACGAGCCACCTCATCCCATTAGGCCCTAGCCCACGCAGGCCAGAGCTAAAAAGCCCACAAGGCCAAATAGCCTGCATATTAAGCAGTCTGCACAGGCCAAAAAATCACATAACCCAACGGGTTAGGGCCAACCCGCGGGCCAAAAATAATATAATTTTTTTATTTTATAATTTTTTTTAGTTTTCTCAGAAACTAAAAATAAAAAAGTTTCTATAAAAAATATTAGAAAAAGTTATATCATAAATAAGTTTTTTTAAAAATTAAAAAAATGATTACAATAGAATCCACCATTATTTGTATAGAGCTTATTAAACTTGTTTTTATGTCTTTCTCTTTTCTCTTTGATAACATGAAATCAAACATGAACCAAATACAAATCCAAATTCACCCCTCCATACTTAGAATTAGAACCATTAACCACTGTCATTAAATTAGTCAAAATAAAAAAACTTAAACAGTGCAGAAACATTCAGTCTCTTCCTAGCACTGTCCAAATAATTTTAACAAAATACTGAGTCATCAATTCAATTTTCTTCTGTATATTATTGTAAAGATCCATCACTAACAAACAATTCACCGAGTAATATTTAATGCATTTTCCCTGCCTCTATGAAGGACACCAAAAATTCTCATCTACGAGGAAAATCTATAATGGTATAAAAAATAAACAATCATAAAAAAGGTAACATAGTAACTGCAAATTATGTCCTTCAAGAGTCAAGACAAGCTCAGCAGTTTTGTCAAGCCCCATCCAAGAAAATTGTTTCAAAGAATCAGCTTGTGTCTTTTTCCTATAGAATTTTATCCAGTTTCCTTTGGATTGTGGCACTTCGCAAAACCAAATGTTATGTGCAAGAGCGAAGGTGTGCCTCTGGATTGTTGATTTTCAAAGAATGATAATGAACATGAGATATTTTAAAATACAGTAGAATTAGAGAAAAGTAGCATCAATTTATCCAAGGTTTCAGGGTAAAACTTCCTGGCAAATAAATAACAAGGTCGTTTTGAACCATTCCACATGCAAGGTGTAATCAACACTGTTCTCTGCGAATTGAAAAGTGAAAACCCAATAATAATTCATTCCTTCAATAGAAACAGAAATAATGTCACAATATGGAGGACCCTTTGAAGTTTGAACCATTTATACCTGTGCATCACTTGTAATACGTGAACTTTCATCAATGGACTGCAGTTAATAAAATTGGCATAAAGTGAATCTACTGGTACTTTCCAAAAATAACTTGAATGAAGTTTTTATAGCACCAACAAACTTGGAATATTTCATGGTTTATTTTATAGGACCAACATGCATGACATAACATCAATAATGGTCAGCATCAGCAACAATGAACAATAATAGTCCAATGTAAATCAAAACAAAATAAATGGCAGAAGATTCCGAATTCATTTTGTCTAAAACAAATTGGCAATTTTTTTGCATGAAAACCAAGTACCTTGCAATTGATATATCAACTGCTATTCTAACTCTATCTAAGAATGGTGAACTTCAAAGGATCCATGAAAATTGGCTTTCAAAAAAGGCTTGTGATTTACATAGCACTGAGAATGAGCAGCTTCAATTAAATAGCTTTCGGGGCCTGTTTCTAATATGAGGGATAGCATGTTTCCTGGCCCTACTTATCTACTTTATTTCAATGGTACACCAATTTTGTCAAAACCAATAGTAAGAATCACTTCATAAGAAAGATAAAAAAAAAATATTTCAAAGGCTAAACACCAATTTCTATCCAAAGTTTGGATCAGACAGCTCTATGTTTGTTGACCACAAATCTCTTGGCCAGCATCAACTCCTTCCTTCATAGTTCACACTTAATTCCCACTTGCCCTCACGCCGCAATTAAAAGGTCTATATGGCACTAGGAGTAGTGCTGCCTTAACCGTAAGATCAAGTGGGGAAGTGAGCTTTTATGAGCTTTATCTCGAAAACAGCATGTGGAAGGAGCATGTTATCAATTTCCATATCCGAAAGTTGAAGAAAACATATAGGACTATACAGAGCTATCTCGGATGAAGTAGCCGAGGCAAAAGCAATAACAAATTGCTAGTTTTCCTATGCTTAGTTAATGTATTCCATGATTTATATGTGAGGAGGGATCAATATCAATTGATCCTTCTCTTCATATTTATATACTTGATAAGATATGCTATCTATGAGCACGACTCGATGAGTGCTCGTGTATGAAGATTTAATAAGGAAACAAACTTAATGATTAATAACATATAAAATTGTACCAGCCAAAATATCAGTGTACACAATCAATTATTCTTTCTATTAGTCTTTTGTTATTATTATTTTAACAGGGGATACTTTTAGCTGAAAACAGATCAATTGATCAGCCCGAAAATAAAAGACCAGACATTTAAGACGTATAATGCTAACAAGAAAACAAATATGACAAAGTAATTCTAAGTGTGAATATTTAACTGTAAAGCCTCATGTCGATTAGAAATGAAACAAGCGAGTATTATTTAACTGTAATAGACCACAACCAATGTGTAGCGATTGAACAAACTAAACGGATGTGCACGACTTCAAACTTTTCATATTATATCTTCACAATTTTGTAGGCTTAAGTTCCTATTCTTTTCGTTCTCCAGGATATTGTAACAAGGGTTCTAGCTAATGCATAATATTAGCTTCGTAAAAATGCCGTGATCCAACATTTTTTTTACACTATCCTGGCTGCTAAAGAAATCTTCTATAGCCCCAAACCTTTAAGAGCAGTAGGCTACGACGAGCCAAACCAGTAAATATTTAACTTTAAGAAATTAAGATACCTACTCTACCCTCTAATCACAATCCATGGTATTTCAGAACATGTATTCCTTAACTGGGAATGGGGTATAGCACCAAAGTAATATCCAATTAAATGTCTTGAAACACATAGAAGATGGTGAAGATGCAAAACTTCCGAAGAAGGTAGATGCATTGGAGAAGGATTTACAAGAAAAGGAACATACTAAATGGTAAGTATTGCATTTTTATGTTAATACATTATGTTCATGTAATGAAAATACTCATCACCCAGTACCATCGTTAAAATTTTTAGAACCAAGGCAACAAGAGCATATCAGTTTGAACAAAAAAAATACCAAATAGTTGATGAGAATACAAAAATCTCATTGGTCCTTCAAAACAACAAATACCTGTGCAAGATTCGATGATAGTGGCAGAAAACACACCCTTGCAAAGCTGGTATATCAACCTCTGCAAACAAATCCACAAAATCGGGAGGGCTGAAAATGAGGGCCCAAGGGGTGGCCCACGGGGTTAGGGCCTTTTTGACAGCTCTAGTTAGGAGCAACTCCCTAGTCAAAGATGAACACTATAATTCTTGGGATCGAGCCACTCAGCGTAGAACTTCTTGACTGCAATTTAACACCAACAGTGGTTGTGGAGACGACTTTTGTATGGTTTGCAAGTCTAAATATTCTTTCTCCTCAAAATTCCAGTAGGAACACCATAACATACTGGAGATGCCCCTGTCAAGAAAGGAAGGGTGCAGACTTCACGCGCCTGACCCATGAAAGCTCCAATTTTGCGTCTATGACCACAGTTGTTCTTAGGTAAATCACTTTCAGCCAACTCTCGTGATTTCTTCCTTGGAACTTTACTCTTTGCTCTACCCTTGCAGCCCTTCAAGTTCATGGCCTCAAATTCTTCTGATAATAAGTTGCATTGGAAGCATTCTCTTGTAAGATCTGATCTTTCTTTCAACCACGCATCAAGCATTGCCTTACCAAATCGATCTATGTCCTTGTCTGTCACTTCCCACAGATTGGCAATGATGGCTGGAGAACCAGCCAGCAGATATGACAGGGGAATACCTTGAGGCGCATAGTTCCCATGTAAGGTCAACGAACCACTACTGCATCCCATCAGAAGCGTAGCAGCACATTTCTCTAGTTTCTGAATCTCATGCCTTGGAATGTACTGTGCTCCTGTGAAGACACATTCAGACACCCTTATAAAAATAGGAGTGACAGGGAATGAAAATTATATTATATGTTTTATTTAAGATATTTCCTCAAGTTTTACCACTTCCATGCCCAAAATATATAAAAAGGTCATGACTCTCCAACGCTGAAGCCAATTCTTTGACGGTGGGTTTAGAACCTGCCTTTCCCTGTAAAGTAAGATATAATTATTCAGTAGGCGTATAGATAAAGCAATTAGCAGGAATACAAAAAATCTGCAACATTTCTTCCCCTGTTTATCCTTATCAAATTCAAACAACTTAAATACCTCCAGGCTTTGAACTCTAAAATAATTCTCAAACTCATTTTGAGTGCCACCGAGATCACCATCAGGATTTAATAAATAAAAAGCATCCAGTGGATCTATCGAAGGAAAGGGTGCTAAAGTCCTTCCCACTAGCTCTTGATGGTTGCCGACTTTATCAAGAACAGCAGAGATGCTACTAACTGAAGGCATGCGATAAACCTCCTGGTTCCTTAATATGGGCAAATTTTCCCAAGGAAGCATCTGTCATAGTATAGAGCTTGTTATTGAAGTCGGTATTACAACGGTTCAAAACACTTAAAACAAAAACACATAAATAAGCACGTTCTGAAAACATTGGCTAAAAGACATTTCCTTGCAGTCATCTTTTCCTTAAAAGTGAGAACCACAAATTTAGCTTAGCAGATGTGTTAAAGGATTACCAATCAAGGAATTATGGAAAATATACAGTCTTATTATATCTTTTGAAATTTGAAAATACTGCTGCTTTGAATGTCGGTTATAGATCACATATATCAAATCATAGAATCTGAAAGAAATAAAAACCAGAACTGATTTTTACATAGAAGGATGCAATGAATTTTAAAAAGTAGAAGCATTTTATTAATTTCCTTTACCATATTACTAAATGATGCATTCCAAGACATCCAAACAGTAGAACATTATGGTTAAAACCAATTCATAACTACATCAGAACCACTTCACTTACCTGCACCTCATTATCCAACACAAGAATTATTGCCTCTCTATTTATGGAGTCATCCACTTCCAGGGCATTTAATGCTTCATTTAATAGTTGAAAAGCAACATCAGATGACTTTCCAAATCCATTGGCCGCATTTAACAATATCCCATTCCTTGCTTCATTACAATAGCCTACTTTAGCAATGTAGCAGTCTTTCTTTAAACATAGCTGTGAAACCAATGTTTTTCCTTCACAAACATATTTGGAGCCTCCAAGAATAATTTTAAGAAGTCCCTCATTAACATCCAATTTGCATTTAGATCTTAGATCATTCACAAGACTATTCTGCACTGACTCAAAATTCTTGCAATTCAACAATTCTCCAAGAAGCAAGCATTTCCATGAACCAAACCATAAATCTTCAAGGTTCCTGGTAAGGTACGACAATTGTACAGGAGACATAATTATTAGCTTCTTAAAATTTAAAACTACTTCTACCCATGTCAATGATATCATTGTGCAAGCTCTATTTTAAAATTTGAGTCCCGTAAAAAAAAAATAGATAAAGTGAGTGTGATGTTGAGTACAAGTTGTTCAACTATGAAGAAAGGATGCAAATTATGCATGGTAGTGACAGAATCCATTCTTAAATCAAACTTTATGCAAATCAACTCATAAACTCATATAGAGGTAATGCACCTCAGCAATATGTCAAGACGGTGATCAAGGTTCTTTCTCCGCTTCCACCATAACATCCTATTCTGTGGTGTATCTTCAAAAGGAGATATTGTTGACAAGTAATTTTCTTCCAAAATTGTTTTGAATGCAGGAGCCACGTCATCAACTACAGTAAAACCCCATGGACAATGCCAATCTTCACTAGGTTTCTTACACTCAGGAAATGTGACTGAACCAATACTCTGATTGCCCTCATCTGAAACTGATGATGAAAAGTTACAAATTACCTTGTTAAACTACATAAGGCTAATACTGATATGAGATGCTGTATGTATGTACCGACAAGAGTTATATACCTTGTAAAATGGAATCCAGTGGCAGTAACATTACAATAGGTTCAGTCTTAAAACTCAGTCGTGACACCAGTAGCCATGCTTGAACACATGTACGATAAGGCAACAATTCCTGTAGTAAACTAGTATAATCACATCCAAGCAAACTTATACTGATTATTGTTGTAGATGGAAGACCAGCCAAAAACTTTTTCACATATTCTGCAAGATCTACAGCGGTATCAGGCACGAGCCTGCAACGGGAAGCATCAGACACCGAGAACATTGCCCTGTGTTGTACGCCAATTGATTATTTGCTTTACTATGGAATAAGAACAACTGTTACCTGAGTAAGTCGAACGCGCCTTCTCTGACGGAAGAAGATCCAGGAACATATGAACCCTGAAACTGAACTTAGGTCTATTTAACAAGAGTTCAACCTTGGTTGACCAATAGCAATCCCTCTTTGGGTTCACTAAATGCTTAGCTTTCCAAAAAACTGAGTTCTTGTGCTATTTATATGGGCTGGACCATTAATTAACCATCTAATGAAATGTGAAAAACGTAGATGCAAGCCCTACAATGCATTACTCATGCCAGCAAATTATACTAAGGAACATCCTATAACATCGAAGTCAAAAGCTACTTAGACGAGGAAATAACAAAAAACCAAAAAGGTACTAATTTACTGAAAAGTATGCATAATAATGAGTGCACAAATTCACAAGAGAAATTTCCCAATTGCCAAATCAACAATCAGTATTTATTTTCCAAAGTCAACGTTTATAATAGAAGCCATAGATGAAATTCCACATATTGATAAACATGTGGATATGCCTAAACATCAACAAGTAGTTGTACCTTGCATCTTCCAGTTAGATGTGATAGAAACTGGTAAGTAAGATGAGTTCCAATAGAAGCTTGGTGGAAATACGAAGACCAATAATTTTCACCCAAAGCTTTGCTAAAAGATGACAGAGAAAACTGCTCACTAGAGGCAGAAACCACATACATCACAGCAAGTAATTTAGACACCTGTTGCAGTATTATTAGAAAAATAAGGTCATAACCAGCTCAATTGATAAAAGAAGACTAAGAAAGGAAGAGATAAAAGAGCTAATAGTCAGGATTAAGCCGCTCTAGATGTCTTTGCACTCCACAAAACACTGCAAGTGCATTACAGATAATAACCTCAGTATATCAAAATCTGTTATATCAAATTTCTGCTGTTCTTTAGTTTATTCATCAGGACGAACATTCCTAGAAGATTGAAGACATTCTGAATTCAGAATTATATGATTCTTAAATTTTGTCTTTCTCTAAATTATGTAAACTGGGTATTGTGTACAACCCATGCGGGTTTCAATAATCAACATGAAAAAGGATTAGATAGTAGAATCTTGCATATATGGAACACGGATTTCAGCTACCAACAGTATAAAAGGCAGAGTATTCTAGAAGTCCAAGATATTCATATTCTTCAGATTCAATGTTGTTTAATGCTTTGAAAACAGTCAGGACAAATAATCTGCACTACTATATATCTACTGTCAAGAAAAGGCTTTCATAATTATGAAATTATACCCAATAAAAATATTAAACTACTTAATCAAAAATTGTCACAGAATAATAACAGGAAGATAGAGAAGTTTGACCTTTTGAAAAATTACAGGAACCTCACGAGAGAGTACAAAGGCTACCATCAGCCAAGAAGCCAGGCCCTCGAACTTGATGGAAGACAGATTACAGAAAATGTTACTGTAAGGCAAAACAAAAAGTTCGAAAATCTATGTTAGCCCCAAGGGAGACATTGTTGCAAGCGTACAAGCAAACAACAACAATCTAATAAAGAGTTCCATAAGAGCAGAAAGGATCTGGCTGATCAGAAAATTAAGTAAATTCTCTAAAATCAACATCTTTTATACAATATTCAGGTTCTTGCATTTTATCAAAATCAGGTCCATGGATTTTCTATCAACATTCAACAACTCTGCACTTTATAAAGTGCACACAATAAAATGTCAGAGGCAATCAACAGTGAATATGCATGAAAAGTGATAAAAATGAAGAACATTTCATAAATATCTCAGACCATATCATGGGAAGGAAGCTCTTGTTAGGCGGTCATGGGTAGCCCAAATAAGTGAAAAAACCCATAAGCTCATTGTTTTAGGGAATTGGGTCTTGATGTAGTGTCAAGCTCACTTTTGCTTGGCCCCTACTTTTGGGCCCTCATAAAGCACATCATAAAGTACTGTCATATACATTTCTAATCACAACTAAATTATTGCTTATCTGAGAGGTAAGTTAATACACGCACATTTTGGTGCCAATGTCTACCTATAAATTTGTTTTCTCGTTAAAAAGGGAAAGTAGGTCACAATGTATCAAACATACTAGTTAGTCCACGTACCTCATAAACTTGGAATGAAAGCTCTTCAAAGAAAACCAACATATGTCATAAACTATTTCTGCACGTTCGATAGCAAATACATCTCCCGGGATCTCCTTTGCAACCAAATGCTGAAAATAATCTTGAGGAATAGAAGTAAATGTGTGGCAGAATGGGTTTCTGCTGACCAGAACTGATATGCTTCTTAGAAGAATTTTACGTGTTTCTTCAATTTGACCAGGATATGCAAAGCATTTCACTGTGAATAAATAGTCATATTAGAAAAAGAAAGAAGCAAATAACTATATGCCATAAATAAATACATTACCCAAACCTCACACATATATATATATAGAGAGAGAGAGAGATTATAGAGAGGGAGAGAAATTTACTATATGTAATATAAAGCAAGTTACAAGCAAACTTGTGTGCGCTTTATCATTATTGTATGCCCAATTTTTGTGGCAAGCTAATTACTAAAGCAATCTGATATCTAGTATAGTTATGTTTTGTGCTTGGAAATTGTTCCTGTCTGTTGTCATTCAGCTCACAATGATTTCTAATCAATCTTACCTTCTTTTCAAAGAATCCTAACCCTGATAAGCACAATGACAGACTTGGTGATTAACCCAACACCCTGCTTTTCACAGTAACAATATATCTGATGAACAATGATGATAATGACCCCATGTTTTGCTTGAAACAAACAAGAAACCGTTATCAAGCTCTCAATAACTACTCTCTAACAAGCAACGCTAGATTCCACTCATATTGCAGACTTGTAGACAGAAGAACTTTCTATTATGAAACTTTTACTGCTAAATGCGCTCATACAATTAAAGAGCAAATATAAACTCCCCGGCTGACCAATGCATACAGACTAAATAAGAAAAGCTCATGGTATTATACACATTGATTTTTTTTTAACAATAAAATATGTCGCATGTATACAGAAGAAATTTATGCCTCTGGATATAAAACTCCAACAACATCACGAGCCTTTTAAAAACTTCCTTGCAGCTTTAGATTCTAACTACATGAGATGAAGATGTTACATGCTGTTTTTTTGGTATCCAGCACAATTGCTACAGCCATAAGCACCGCTATTGTCATGAAAAGTAATACTCCTCCCAACAAAATACAGATTAAAAAGTTGACTGCTAAGAGTCTAAGACCACTTAAGAATTCAATCTAGTAATAAAATTCCAAAGAGTGTTGGAACGAAGAAATAATACCAACAAGCTCGAATACACTATAAAAGCACATGTCCAGGCTTTGAAGGATGCAACGGCAATAAATAGTCAATAATTTAAGCAATTCTTTTGGGTGAACATTCCAAAACACATTTGGGGAACATTCCCAAACATAAATAAAATAGTCAATAATTCAATAATTTTTGAAGACCTTATCCAGATATTACTTTTGGGTGAACATTCCCAAACATAAAACCAATTCTTTCAAACTCAATTCTTCCAAAATACATTTTACTCATTTTAGTGGGTAGATTAGATTATACTTTAGCTTGTCTGATCGCTACTGTACTTCTGGTTGTATAAGAGTATATCTCTTTCTGTCACTATCTAGTCTGTTAGTTGTTAGTGGATCAGTTAGTTGTTGACTCAGATTTGAGTCAGGCCAATGTATCAGTTTACTTATCTCAGAAACAGAATAACAGAAATGACATTCTCTCACTTTTTCTCCTATTCTCTCTCTCTCTCTCCTCAACCTCTGATATGGTATCAGAGCTCTCTTCTTGAGGGCCTAATCCATTTCTTTTCCACTCATGTCTTCCGCTACAACTTCTTCGCAAGAAACTCGCATCAGCAACTAACAACTCAAAAGTAACTCTACACCAATCACTCAAACTTGCACACTCTCATTCCATGCATGAATCATATTATCCCTCTTGCCATAGCAGCTATTTAATGATTTTAGGGAGGACAAATAATAAAACCACTCCATGATTTATCAATGTAACATGGTTATAAGGTTATAAGCAGCAGTAGCCATTACCACAGTGCCTATAACAACCATAATTGTCCTCATCTTCAATAAATTATTATTATGTTAACAGCCAGTAATGGCCTTTCTGCACCAGCCACATCATCCTAATTTGATTTCGCTAACAATTTTGAATTCAATAATTATCACAACCATTAAAATTGTCTAGAGCTTCTAATCAGTTTCAGTTTCACTATTTGAAAATGTATAATTCTTATTTATCAACATCAACATGTAATCCAATATTAGTTCATGTGTCTTTAATCTTACATTAGTTAAAAGCTAGGACTGTTTGTCAAGCACAAAGGAAGATAAATTAATGTAACAGCCTTTGGTCTTAGATGCTTGACTGTGAGCAACATTGTCCATCAACTATATTGAAAAAAGTTCACAGATGCAATAGCAAATAAAACAAGCAATTAATATCATATTCATTTCCAAGGAATGCAATTATATATCTCTTAAATGGGTAACTTTAACATAGGAATGAGTACATCGTCAAAATTTGTTAAAACCAATCTCAAGACATTTACCTTACTCAAAAAACAATGCCATGTAAATGCAAAATATCTTGAAGAAAAAAATTGGCAATCACCAGCTGTAGAAGTCCATTAAACAATGCTTGCATTTACACAAGAGTAGAGTGAAAAACAAAAAATATGAAATGGCACTCATACCTACTCTAGTGAGTAGCTTCATTGAAAGTTTCCTCCGGACGAATTCCCATTTCAGATTAATAAAATCATTTAGTAACCCAGATTTCAAAACTTCGGATGGAAGACAGTGCCAACACCCCATTTTGGAGAAAGCACAAGTTATTGTGCTCCTTGAAGCATTGGTGCAACCTATCATGTTCAAATCTGACTCCTGACTGTGCATATCAGATGGATCAGAAACAGGATTCCCCTCCAGACTTTCACTGATTTCTGACTCGCACGAAATGCTTATATGTTGGTTCTGTAAAGATCGGTATCTAGAACGAGTTAACCTTGTTTTATTCTCAGCTACTAAATTTGGTTCCTTTGGTAAACCCTTTGCTGCTTTTTTATTCTTTCTATTTTGCTTTGCTCCAATCTTGGTTTCTGGCCCATCTATCATGGATTTCATTACATTTTCACCCGCTTCATTTATTATAAAGCAAGAACAAGTCTTACCAGCAGCATCAGTTGCAGATTCATCACCACTATCTCCAGGACAGCTGAGAGGATTTTTCCAATCAGAAAGATTTAATTTATTCAGAGCTGATGTATACCAATTCTTTGAAGTCTTTTCAGAAATTACCCCTTCACAAGTATCATATTTACTTTGACATAAATCTCCAAGATACTCATGCAGATTAACTTCGAGTATCAATTTACACTTTGAGCAACAAAATGTAGTGCTACTGTCTTTTAAAATACGCTCAGCACTTTGAAGTTCCTTTTCTGCTAAATCCCAAGCTCTTTTCTTAACATAAAGTTTTCCTAGTAAATCACACCACAAAAATGGCAAATCAATTTCATATCAATCAGAAATGAGAATTATCAATCCAAGGGGGAGAAAAGTTTACAAGTAACATTCATACCTAGGAGGGAAGAGAAAGCAACTATAAACAAAGGCAATTGTAGTGAACAGGATATGGCTTTCCCCTGCCGGAGATAGGCTTCAGCCTCATCTCCATCTCCAATCATTTCATGGATGACTCCTACCTGCATGCGTATATGAAATTGAAATCCGGTGTATAACATGCCTACCCCAAATACATTTAATTCTGTAAAAGAGAAGTATAACGAGATACAAGTCAAACCTGAAGAGTGCTCTCAAGATAACATTGCATAATTTTCCACGGACTAAGGTAACTGTCTTTTAAGTCCCTTGATATAGAATCAAATAGAAAAACTTCCCTAGCAACTGATGTGTTCACTCCAATTTTGTTAATACCATCCATAAGATTCTTTGAGAAGTCAGCCATTACACTGTGCTCTTCATTCTGCTGCTGAACATTATGTATAAATTTTCCTTGGAAGAGTCGGGCATGTAATCTAAGAGCTTTTTTTGCAAATGAAAGAGCCTAATAAGTAAAAAAGAAAAAGCTATTATAAATTGCGAAATGAAGTAAGGCCAAAGAAATATAGACCAAAAAAATAATACCAAAATATGTCTTTGATTAGCCAAATAGCTTTAGCCCTTGGCAGGGCTAGTGGCATGTCTTGACCTTAGAATGGGATCTCTCAACTCAATATTTTTCTTTACCAAAAATATGAAAAATAAAACAAGAACCCGGTAGCTTATAATGCAAGTAAATTTTTAGTCAAAGGACTCACTTACCTTTTTATTTTCAATTACTAGCTTAACATTCATTTAGTTGACAATTAATCCTATTACAAACAAAACAAACCAACAAATAAGGAATGAAATAAGCTTGACTTGTAGTGACAATAAAATTCCTTTCATGATGGAAAAGTCAATTTGAATGGAAACTGGAATGAAGCTATGACATATGCTCGCAGCCAATAGATAAATAATTTTGAAGTTTAAAAATTTTAAAACGTTGTTTTTAAAGAATTAAGGTCTTTTTGGTTAAATGGGTAGAAATCATGGAGGAAATTGAAAAAATAATTGTACATAATCAAGTCGAGATACATTATATTTTTACATTATTATTTTTCATGTAGACTTTATTGTTCCCAATTACATTTTCAACATTCACCTACTCAATCAAGTAGACCCTTACAAAAAAAGCACTCATAAGTTATCACAAAAGGAAAAAGCTTAAACCTTTTCTGATTAAACATTAATTATGCAATCTCTCACACAAACAGTAACCCTTAAGACAAATAGGAAACATGTTCAAATAGCACTAATCTTGAGTTTAAAAGTTAAGAGAGCTGAATATCAGTAATATAAGAATTTAAATTTAAACCAGTCCTATTTACCTCCAGTAACTGTCCATTTGCAACGAGTCTTGGGCACAAGTCATAGTAAAGACACCCAGCAAGAAAAACAGAATGACTCGGGACGGAGACCTAGGAGAAGATTAACACATAACATAGTGATGATTTTGGATAAAAAGAGAGTATGATGATTTCTGTCTCAAAAAGACCTTACATTTGAAATCAGTTCAAGTGCAGCATTTTGAACTTCATCAACTGTGATGTGTGTTTGAAAAGAGCTCCCACGACCGCAAGAATCCCTATGAGAGCTAGCAAACAAAAAAGAGAAATTCTGCTGAAACCCTATTAATGATGTTTGGTTTCCTTGAAGATAACATATCCAGAAATCAATATTCAAAAGTTCACTGAACTCGTCCGATGAATTCAGGATGAATGCCTCATTTACAGGCGAATCACAAAGGGCATGATTTAGCCTTCTATTTTGCCACAGTAAGGTCAACCACTTCTCAATTGAGACATTCTTCAATTTAAAAATTCTAATCACCAGCCGATATGCATCATTGGAGAGTACCATGAAACCCTGAAGATACACCATTGAAACTAAACAACTATTACTATAAATCTTAAGAATCTACAGAAACTAAAGTGATTAAAGGAGAAAAACAGACCTTCAATTGTAATAAATCAAATATGTTATAGAGTAGAATCATCATACTGTCAGACAATGCAGAACACTCTCCCTCTTCAAAGGGATCAAGATTAGAAATGCTCAACCATAGATCCAAAGCAGCCTTGACATCTTCAAAGATTTGCTGCTTAATGTACAAAAACCAAGATAAGCTTTTTTTTCCGATAGAAGAATAAATTTATTATGAAAAAAGAGAAGATGCTTACAAAGAGTTAGTAGGATAAGAGATCCTCCTTAAAATTGGGAAAAAATATAGAGAAAAGAGAAAAAAGAATGCATCAAAGCAAAGCTGGCCAATTAGTCAAACTATCTTTAGGGAAACCAAGCTAAGATTTAACAAGGAAACTGTTGATTTCCCCTTACAACTGAGCCACTGCACTGTTTTTTTCAAACTAACAAATCCCAATCTCGCTCTACCCTCTCTTACTATTTAAACTACTTCTCTTGCTCTAACAACTTTAACCGCCCAAACGTAGTTATTCTAACTAATTACTCCTCTCTGGCTCTATCAGATGATGACATTGTCAATGACAATCCCCCCCCCCCACACACGCAAAAAAAGAAAAAATATAAAGATAGAGAAACAACTGAAATCAGAATAGTTTACGAAATAGTGGAAATTATCAACATATGTTTCAGTACCTTCGAATTAGGTTCAGCTTCCTGGGTACATAGTGCACGCAGGCAATATGCCACACACAACTGATGATCAATGGGGTTCTTATTGGTACACATCTCACCAGAAATCTGCTTCTGTTAAAGAGGAATTACCTCATATTAATGGCACATACATCGTCGATATAAAATGTTTTACATACAATAGAGGTTGGATATTTGAGGGAGACACAAGAAGAACCAAACAGTTTACCATAATAGTTATTGCTTCTGACAGACACTGAATGCAGTCCCCCAGACCACCCATGCCACAAATCCTTAATGCCTTTCCCTTTCTCACAAGAGTTTGTGCCTTTTGAAAACAACTATATGGAGTGATATATATATCTTGCAGGAGGATACCTGTGATTTTCATTTGCATTTTCTGACATAATTCTGGGTATTTAAGACTCATTTCCTCATATGCTGTAAGTTCCTAAGCAGGCATCAAGAAAAAAGAAAAGATACACATTGACAAACAGGTCCAATATACATTAAATACATAGCAGTGTAAATGTGATGAAATTTCTATGCAAAGGAAATATCCACTACGAGGCACAACCTGCTCCAAGATCGTGCCGATGTTCCTCTTTGACAATTCTGTAGAAGATGGCAGCAGAGAGCACAGGGTAAGAGAATCAACTCTCCCATCCACATGTATAGCACGTTTACATTCTATCTGAAAACCATACCATATTACAAATTAACATCAGTGGGAAGAAGTAAACTTAAACAGAAATCTGCAAAATACTAAAACGAAAATGTTTTGAAATGTTACCTTTACCCACTGCTTCACTACAGGTATAGGAGGTGGAAGCTTCTCAAACAGATCGTTAGCAGTGGACCAGTTTTTAAGGACCTCGATCATTTTCTTTCTTATTTTATGAAGACTATTGATGTGATATTCATATAGAATATCTAAAAGTAGAGCATTTCTTGTGCAAGCCTCCATTACAAACTCTTTCAAAGCACCTTCCACCTGATTGCCACAATGGCATTGAATACGGAGCCATGACGCTTTACAACACATGTTTAGAACCTTTGAAGCCTGTTATGATGTCAGACAAAAACAAAAGTAAAGTACTTAAGCAAAAAATATGACTTCTTTAAGTTCTTATTATTTACTTTCAGATACAACTCTTTCACATTCTCAATGTTCATCAATGATATAAATATTTTCATTTCTTTACTTTTGCAGAGTCAAGAATATAGCAGTCTTACATGATTGGAGTTCCTTATGCTCTTAGTTTACGCATGTTTACTTGTAAGATAAAAAACTTTCAACCATGTAGTTATTTGATACAGTCCAAAGTTTGGTTGGTTAAGTGATCTAGAATTAGATTCTTACCACCCATTTTTTTATAAATGAAGTAACCCTAGTAGCCTTTCACTGGAGGCATGGTAGAGTTAAAATAATCCCATTTGTGGGCCCTTGCTAAATACCTGAAGGCTGAAGCTTTCAGGCTAAACATGTTCTTTAACAATATGTATCAAATAAGATTTATTGAAAGGATCTATCTAGATTCCACAGCATATTTCAGCTTTGGCATGAAATCCAATTTTCTTACTGACAGCTAATGGCTTCCATCAAGTGATACAGCTTCAAGTACTAAAACCAGAAGAATAATATTGGTTTTCCATGACCATGAGCTCATGAACTGCTGGTGGAAATATCTCAAGAAGAAAGTATATGATGTTTTTCCATGAGATATTATCATTACATTACAGATTTCAATTAAAAATTGGGAATGGAATACCTTCTTCAGTTGCTTGTTTCTGTACAAAAATACAGTAATATTGTAGAGACAATCAATAATGTATTTTAATCCATCTGTTTTTATCCATTCGCTAGCAATGATCTGCTTAATTAATTGTGTGCTCTCCTGAAATAAGGACAAAAACTTAGTTTTTCAAAACAAAAGATCTAATAACATTCCACTAAAAATTCAGAAATTCAAGAACGTACTTTTTTAGGGAAAAACATAATAGTAGAAATGATAACACTTAAGAGCATTCAATGATAACAAAGAGAACCTTGAGTTTAAGATTGGTTCTGATGGAAAGGGTGAAGGCTGCTAAAGTTACTTCGAGCACTGTACTACTCTTTTCAGAAAATCCATCTCTATTCTTATCAGATATAAAACTGCAGCCAGGACAAAGTGAAATTTAGAGATTTATCATCCCAAGTAGCACAAGATGAAATAGACAGAACAGAAGGTCTAACCTTTCAAACCGGTGAGATATCTTATATAAACAATATGGCAAAATATAAACTCTTAGAAACTACTCTTCTATATTAATGCGACAAGTGAAAATTCTAGTTTAAAAGAGAACAGATCCACATACAAGACAAGTGACACAAGAGGAACAAAAACCCTTTCTTCCATAAATTTGAATAGCTGACACTGAGCAAAATAAAAAGATATATACACCACGAATGCAGAACTTTACTCAACCTAAATAAATTTGGATATTCACAGGATGTACCTTGGACTAGATAGCATAAGATGACAAAGGATATGGAATGCATCTTGGACAGTGGACAGTATACTCCCAGCAGAAGCATTGTCCTCTTCAGTGACTAACCGTTTCCTTTCTGAATTAACTGATTTAGCAAGCAGTTGGCATAGAAATTTCAATGCCTCTAAGTAAAATGATAGGTAAGTCATAGAAGCTTCACAATCAGAACTTGACTTTCTGCATGAGTGACCATAAAAACGTTGGTTTTCAACATTGGATGACATACAATTACTTTTGCTGCAAATATGTACAGAAGTGAGCAAAGATGGTGAACTCTGTAGTATTTTCTCATTTTCAAGTAAAATTCCAAGCAAACATTCAAATTTTGCACTGCCAGAGGATGCATGATCTTCAGCTCTGGACCTCAAATTACAACTAAGAAGAAGCAACCCAGCTGCATAAATCCTCAGTATTGAATTAATGGGTGTCATAACCTGCCAAACTACTTCAATCAGAGTGGAATACAAAATGTTGACAATAGCTGCATAGAGGAAAAGTGCACACGAGAAAACCTTGGCAGAAAAATACCTGTTTAAAATGCTCTGCTTTTTCGTTCAGATATGCTGCAAATGTACTACAAAAACCTGAATTTGCAGTCTGACAATTATTGACACAATAATATACAAGTTCAAGATACTCTGTTACAGTATTTCCCTCTTCAACCTGAAAGGATAAATATATTTGTTGAATATAAGAATCAAGCACTCCAGCAAGAAAAATAACGACTTCAATATTAGATGGAAAACAAACTAAACTAGAAACTAAAAAACATGGTCTTACCCAAAAACTCATCAAATGAACAAAAAAAGCCTGTAGGTCTTCTAAATCTGTCTAATCTAGAAATGATAGAATCTGGGCAGCTTAAATGGTGATATGAACATAGGCCAAACTGGCCAGGCTAAGCAGCTTTGTAAGGTTACTTGTAGTTATGTTCTTACAACTTAATGAAATTCCGTCAAAGGAGGAATATGGGGTATAGCAACAAAAGTAAAAAATGGCATCATGTCAGATTCAAATTATGATCCAGAATCAGTGAATTCAAGCCATAGAATTTTGCAAAAATTACCTTGCACTCCCGAGCAATGCAATCCAGTGTATCCATGATATACAGGTATTTATTTCCCTGAAGCGTAAACATTAAGGAGCACATCCTGCGGGCAATCTTCATTTAAAATTTTATCAGGATGGCAAGTGAAAGATTTATTGATGCATATATTCAAGAGTTGAGAGCTGGTTTACCTTGAAGACCTGATCTTTAATTGGAGATTTCATACACTCTGACAATGTCATACAGCAGAACGTGATTACCAAATCTCCATCAAAAAATGTTGTTGTCCCCAATAAATTTGTAGCACATTTACCCAAATGAATCACTAACTTCCCATGAAACTTCTCATACGACTTGGCATCTAATCCCCTGAAACAATAAGTTGTATAAACAGGCGGTTTGATAGCTTACATCAATCCAGGGCATACCAAAAAAAAAAAAAAAAAGAGGAAAAAAAAGGCAATTGTGGACCAAAACAAACCTAATAACCAAATGAAGGTTCTCTTAAAAATCGTTCAAAATACAAATTAAGACAAGTGACAGATGAAACCAATGCTTAAAACAAGCAGTAGCTTCTTCAAGCAAGAGATTATACTCCCTTTGGTAATTGGGATCGTCTTTGGGCACTCTATGAAACTACTATTATTAACACTAGAACCAAGAAACAAAATATAAAAAACAGTGCCAGCAACAACTAACTTTGACCTACCTGAGCCATGGCCTTACTTCGTCAACCAAATGAAGCACCCTCCTAAAATGCCCATCCTCTTTACCAAGGCCCGTGGCTGCACACTTCACTAGGTTCACAACAATCTCTACTACCAACGAGCACAAATTTTTATCATCTACACTGCCCTTGTCTGTTTCGGGAAGAATCTTACCCTTCCCCTTCCTCTTCACCGTTCCAAGCTTCTGTAAAATACCAAATCCTTCGGCTTCGGCATCCTCGACCCGTCCACAAGACTCAAAGCAATGCATCAACTGAACTCTCTGAAATTCCACCATGAAGGGCTTGCAGTCCAACTGAGAAACCACGGTGTCCAAGCAATCCAAACAGAGCCTATAAATCTTGAACAACTCATCCACTAGAACGGCGTTGTTGGATTTGGAAACTTCCAGGACACGTTTTGGTAGAATGGAGAAGGAGGTGCTGAGAAATGGGAGAAAACGCTTAGCGAGTGATCGAATTAGGGTTTGGTCATTGTTGGTTTTCTTTGTTGGGTTCAGATCTGCGAAGGGACGGAGGTAATCGTAGACTAAGGCGTAAATGCCAGTGGAATCGGAGGATTGGAGCTTCGAGATGAGAGATGATGATTCGGTGGGGGAAGCCATAGCAACTAGCAAGAGAAACAGTGAGAGTGAGAAACCCTTCAATGCCTCAATGGATTAAGAAAAACAAAGCACTGTAAATGCGAATGCGATTCAAGTTCAACACTTCAACATCAACAACCAAAGTGGGAGCTTGATTTCGAAGGCGCCAAAACCCTTGGATTTTAATTTCAAACTTGCGGGAATGGAACAGGGGCTCGTGGTAATATTTACAATCAAATGGTTTATAAACTGACGAGACCAAATTTTGACAGTTAATTTTTATCAATCAAAATGGTTATAATTTATTTAAAATTAATAATTAATTTATAAATATCATTAATAAATTATAATTGTTAAATTGGTGGAAATTGTAATGCTTGGATGCTTTAAGAATTAATGACTGTACCCACAAACTGACTCGAGACTTTTTAGTATGCTTTGTCCTTAAAAACACATTTTCTCAGAAAACTTTCCAGGAGGTATCTCATAATTGCTCCAAGTTAAACACGTTTAACTAGTGGCGGACCTATAAAATTTAATTCATGTCTTCACATTTAATGGTGGAGTTGCACCTGAATTTTTTTTCAAAAAGTAAATTTAAATGCATATTAAAGACAATCAAGAAACATGAAATTGGAGTCATTTAACTTTAGGCTACGTAACACCCCCTACTAACACGATAACACATTAATAAGAGAAGGTATTTACAAAAAAAAAAAATAAGAGAAGGTATTTCTACTCAGTGAAGGTTGTCCCATTAAACATCTTTAAGGAAAAAAGGGAGAAAAGTGAGAAAAAATTGCATTTTAAAAAAGTAAGTCATATCTATTTCTAAGTTTATGCATCAGTTGCGTTTAAAGAAAACAAAAAAGGAATACATTAAACGATTTAAGCATTGAAAGAAAAGAGTGTGGCAAAAAATTAGATAGAAAACTCATTTGGTACATCGGTTTATTTTTTTGTTCCCGGAATAAACCGGTTTCATTTTTGTGCTGGGAATGGAAAAATAAATAAAAATATCTGTTTTTTTGTTCTCAAGCACAAGATTATATACACTTGTCTCTCTCAATCACTCTTCACCGCCACCAGGATCATCCCGACACGACCACTACTACCATCGTCGTCGTCGTCGTACCACCACTGTCGTCGTCCCCACCACTACCACGATGATGTCACCGCCACCATCATCACCACCTCTACCCATCACCATCATCAACACCATTGTTATCACCACCATCACTACCACCGCTACCACAACTATTATCACCACCATTGTCACAAACTACCACCATTATCATCGCAGCCACTGCCGTCACCACCAACACCATGTCACCACCACTATTATCATCACGCCACCACCACCACCACCATTATCATCACCACGCCACCACTGCCACCACTACCATCACCACACCACCATCGTCACCATTATCACCACGATGACGCCACCGTCACCAACCACCACTACCAATGATGCCACCGCCACCACTATCATGTCATCTCCACCGCCACCATTACCACCACTGACACCAACCACCACCACCATCGTCGTAGCCACTGCTGTCACCACCATCATGCCATCACCACGACCACTACCACTTCCATCACCACCACCGTCACCGCCGCTACTACCACCACACCATATGAAAGGAAAATGATGATTAGAAAAAAAAATTATGCTTAATAAGAATGATTTCTTATTATATTATTTGTTGTATTATCGAACGCAATTCTTATTCTCGAAAAAAAATGTAACATATTATCAAACACATTTTTCTTATAAATTGTTTCAAGGCACAGGAATATAAAAGAATTATTTCTTTTTAGAAACAGAGCTAAGAAATATAATGGTTGTCATACACACCCGAAATCTAAATAAACTAGATAATTTATAGAGTACAAAGGCCTAGAGATTGTCATACTTTATATTCAACCTAATCTAATCAGTAAAATAAAACAATATTGCGAACAAAAACACTTAACAACTATAGCACGAACTTATTTTGAAAAGTATAATCCTAAAACCTACAAAAGACTTATTTTAAATAATATGTGATTTCTCGAGATAAATTTATCTTTCATTATCATTGATAAATGTTTTGAATAAATTAATTGATAGTTGTAAGAGTTAATTTGTATTATAATTTATTAATCAACTCATTATTTATTTTTTACAATTAAAATTAGGAAAATATTCAAATACCCCTCTATGTTTTGCCTTTAAATCAATTACACTACTATGCCTTTTTTTTTAAAGAATAACTTAAAAAATTACATGTAAGTTTTCTCATAATCACTTGCACCCCTCCCCGAATATTTTAAGAATTTACACCATAACTTAAAGTTTCTTTATTACTTACCCCTAAACTTAATTTTTCATCAAAACTAAATTTAACAGTGTTAATTTTTTTAAAAAAATATATAAAATACACTTAAAACAAAAAGAAGAGAGAGAAAAACTAACTTTGTGGGTGTTTGTCTAAAAGATTTCCAACCTACACATGTAAAAGTGTCATAATTTATTTTCACTCAAAAATTTCATTCCATTAACTATTATCTAGTAGATAATATATCTACTATTATTCCAGGCATAAGGATCTTTTGCATCTCACAGTATTCGAAAAATTTCATTCCATCAACAAACTTCAATGAAAAACTTAAAATGTGTGTTATACATCATCAAATTAACCAAGAGATGGCATGTCTCTTGCTCCTATCAAAACTACTACATAAGCTTAAACTATCCCAATATGAAAAACAATTGTTGGACATTCCATGATGAGCAAAATAAAATCATTGTCTCCATTCTCGTGCCAAAAAAGTGTGTTTCCAAAAAATATAGACAACAATCTCAAAAAAAAAATGGACAACAACAACAAGCTTCTAATCAATAAACCTTCATCATGTGCTAAAGGGGCATCAATATGTTTTCCTTCGTCAATATGTTTTCATTTGTATTTTCATTCTTTTTGTCCTCAATCGATGCCTCATCATCAAATATATCATCTCCAAAGCCAGCCTTATCAACATCTGCACACAAATCCTTTCCACCATCTCCAAACTCAGCACCATCTTCATATCCAAATTCAGCTCCATCAATATCTCCAAAATGAACTCCATCATCATCCATGCCATCAAACTATGTATCGTCAAAGAAAAAGTAGTTTTAACCCAAAATATAATAACATGTAAGAAATGAATTAGATATAGGGGATGACGGGAGTTCAATACCATGGATAAAATCCCTTCATCCGTAAGAGGCGATGATGGAAGACCTACGTCATAGTCATCCATTGCAACCTGTGTAAAACTATTTGTGTCTCATGTGTAACGTGTGTCAATCGGTTTAATTAAATAATAAAAGAGGCTTTATGGTAATTGACGTTTCGCATTAATGGTAATTGACGTTTTGACGTTTTGCATTATGGCAACGTTTCACATTAATGATAATTAACGTTTTAACGTTTTGCATTATGGTAACGTTTCGCATTAATGGTAATTGACGTTTTGACGTTTCGCATTAATGGGAAGTTACACGGAGTTAATTGAAATTCTGTAACTGGTGACATGGTTCAGTTATATAAAGTGAAAAGTGGTGAGTCTCTGAGCATGATAATCTCTCAGAATTCTCTCCTTCATGGTCTGCCCATAAAAGTTGTATCAGATCCCTGTCATAGACGATACAAGGAAAGCAGAGGGTAAAGACTCTGAGAAACAATCTTCCATCATCAAAGTTCTTCATCAGAGTTCTTCCGCACTAATGGAGAAAGGTACGCTCTTATGTGAAAATCATGAATTCTAAAGATCCTGTATCATGTTCTTGAATGATCATTGTTGAACATGTATTAATGAATTACTGATTAAATTGCTTACATGTGGTATCAGAGCCTGGTTTAAGAGTTTGTGATTTTCCGTAAACAATTATGCATGATCTCTTGATTCATAAAAAGTTAGGGTTTTTTTTTTTTTTAGAAAATTGACGATCATCATTGAAAATAAAATAAAAGTCGATCGATATAAATTATTTGGTTTTCGCGATCATCATTTGAATTTTGCGTTCATATTACGGTTTGCATATTGATTTGAAATGCATATTTCAAATACTGCATTTTATGATGTCGTGATCGTGAGTTCTGAAGAAAACAATTTCGGATTGACTTTGTATTTCACAAAAGGACAAAAAAAAAACGAATGCATATTCAATATATTCTGAATGGATACTGTACGAAATGCATCGTCCAATTTATATAATGAATATAATATGAAATTGCCATTCTCGGTTTTCACATTCATTGATATTGCTTTTCCAATTCATTGATATTGTAAAAGCATGATAACCTTTATGTCACTGTCACGGTTTTCTTATTACAATTCATTGTATTTTATGGATTGATAGCTATATATATAAAGAACTTTCGTGTTACGATTGGATATTGATAGCTATTTTCAAGAGGTATACATAAAAGCCAGAAATCATTTTTTTTTTTTTTCAGTGTTAATTGCACTTGAATTTTGGGTATACCCTTACGGTTTTCATATTGATTTAAATGATTATGTGATGTGGTTGGATTAAAATTAAATGTGAAAATGTAATCCTATTATTGTTTATGAAATATTAAAGTTTTGAAATTAATTATGGTAGATTTGTTAGTCACCAAAGTGGCCAAATCTTGAAGAGTTATTTTAATTCCAAATATTATGAATTTTATTTCAATTACCATGACTGTGATGCTGTGAATAGTATGATATAATTATTCAAGTTGTGGTATATTGAAGTTCATTATTATAGAACAGTTAGGGATCAACCCAAAGGTTGATTATTTGTTTTATAAAATGAACATGGATGTTGGTATTGTTGACATATTTCCTCACATTTGGACATCCAAAGATGACAAATAATTATGATAGGGGTATGCATCATTGCCAAATTATATGAAATTTATATAGCATCATTATAGTTAATGTTGTATGTTAATGGATCCCCAAAGGCGAACATTAATATGCATTGAAGTTAGTATAGT